CAATGACGTGGCATCTCTCCAATTTCTCACGCTATATAAGATCCAGGTCAGTGGCAAACTTGAAGGCGTCCACCACAATTTAGCCTTGCCTTTCTCAGCAAACCAACCGCTTTCACTGCACAAACAACTCTTTTTCCAGCTTCCACTGCTTTCACTGCCTTCATTCTTCTCTCCATTACCCCATATTTTCTAAGGTAAAGTAAATGATAAGCTTCTTGTTTTTGTGGCTTTACACTTGTATATATATTCCAATCCCCATTTTCCTTCTCAACGTACGTTTTTTTTTTTTTTCAGCATTTTATTGTTAGGTATTAACTTATATTGTATTCTTTTCTGCAGATTACATCATTTTCGAACAAAATCTCCTCCATTTTTTTGCAACCATCTGCACAAGTTTCACCAGATCCCAGGAAGTAAAATCTATTCTGCATTTTTGCAACACTCTGAAAACCTAGTCAAAAGTCTTTTTTGTTTCCCCAGATTCTCTCCATAATCGTTTTTTCAATTTAGCTTTTTGGATTTTACTCTCCTTCTTCCAAAAGATTCGATTCTAGATGTTGGTTTTCTGCTTTTATAACTATTGCATCTTGGTTTTTACTTTACATATATGTAATTAATGAAAATTGATCTTGAAGGTACGTAGCTGACAGCAATTCGAGGAGAAGCCTTAGCAACATTGTTACTTTTTTCTTTCGTCGCTCAAAGTCACTTAAGCAAGGTATATTATTTTTTTTTTCTTTCAATTAACTTTTGTATACATTTGATTTATGTTGGATTCATTCACTTTGAGGCTGCTAATAACAATATCTTGTTGGCATTGGCGGAGACAGAGGTGTCTTGGAGGGGCCCGCCCCCCCTAAAATATTGAAAACAAAAATTATGCTAAATTTTAAAGTTAAAAAATTCAATATTTTTTTTTTTTGTCTTTACTAAAAAGTTAAATAAAATGTATTTAATAAAAGAAAAATAAAATTTGTAGGGCCTCACTTGCCAGTTTCCACTACATTTTTAAAATTTTTAAATCGTTAATTCCACTTAATTACTTGTTTTCCTTCACACATTTGGATATTTCTTCAATTAGCATTAGATTTCTTAACTTCTAAACTTGGCCTACAAAATACAATTAGACTTCAATTTTATTTTATTTTTTATAAGAGAGTCTTTTCAATTGGGTTCTTAAAATTTCTCTCTAAATTGTAATTTTAAGTAATATCCTAATGTCTTTGAAAAATCAAGAAATTTATTATTCTATTTTGTTATCTTTTGTAAATTATCATATTATAAGTTGTAATTATTGTTTTGTGGTAGAGAATTATTATTTTAATTGTTGACTTGTTTTTGAGTTGTTGACTTTGCTATCATTTGTCAATATTGTATTGTATTGTGGTGATAGTTTTTAATTTTTATTATCTAAAAAATTATAAAATATTAATTAAAGTTGATAAAAATACATAAAAAATCATTAAAATTAATTTAAGGTTTATAACTTTTTTGAAAAGCACTGATGAATGAAGTTTTAATTCACATACTTGTTAATTGATTCTAAAGGTTTACTATAGTATTATTAATTTCAGATTATTAAACTTTTAAGTGTATATTTTAGGTTTTTAATTCTACTATATTATTGATCTATGAATGCACTAAACGTATAATTGCACAAGACTAAATAAGAGTAGGCCAAAAAACCTATAAAATAACATATTAACTATTATTTTTGACTAGTGGTGTGTGATAAGAATTGAAAAAAGTAAACTTATTTTTTGCCGCGCCCCCCCTTGACTACAAACTCTGGTTATGCCACTGCTTGTTAGACATGGATATAGTCGTCTCTTGATGTAAAATATTTATTAAAAAAATATTATTTTTTAATTTGAAATTAAAGATAAAAATTAAAAAAATTATAGATTTTAATAACTAAATTTATTGAAGTATGTTATTTTTGAGTATGAAAATTAGAGTCTCACAATGACAAAAATATAAATGTAAAAAGCAGTTGAAATATGCTGAGATCTATCAAATTACTGAATTAACCTTTTGCTTTCAAAACAGTATCAGAAAATTAACAACTATTGTTCCAGTTTCATTTCTACTTTCTCTGCATTCTTCTATTTATTGCCTCATATTTTTTAAGGTTACTCGTAAGCTTCATGTTCGCATGAGTTTCCGAATGGTTGGATTGCCATTTTTCTTCTCAACTTTAATTTTTTCACTTTTAGCCTTACTGATTTTATGTATTAACTTACCATCTCATATTGTATTTTTTAATTTCTGCAGATTATTGCATCATTTTGATAAAATCAACTGCATTTTTCTGTCTCTCAGAAGCAGAAGTTTAACACCAGCAGGTATAATTTTTTTTATTTAATCCCCTATATATGTATAAGCTTTCTTATTATTATTTTTTTATACTTTTGTCAATTAACCTCTTTATTACGGTCATTTAAAATCTACTTTACATGTAATGAAAATCTTATATGTAGCTAGAAACTTCCGAGCAATCTGTGGAGAAGCGTTTCACTAGGCAACTCCCTTTGCTGCTCAACATTAAAAAAGAAAAAGAAAAAATTAGGCATATCCCTTTCTGTTTTCAGTCTAAGGTCATTTGGGGAAAGCACTAACCATTTAAGCGAGGTAAATTTTCTTCTTTCAATTAATTAATTTGTATATATGACTGATTTATGTTGCAATCCTTAAAATCTGCACATAACAATATACGCACACTAATTTCGGAGTCTATAGACATGGTAGTCCAAGGCCAAATCTTCGTTTCCCCTCCTTCTTTTTTTTTTTTTTTTTTCATTTCTAGTCTGCTTCTTAACGTTTCTT